AATTTTTTTTAAATAAAAAATTATTATTTTAATATATTTCTAAATAAAAAATAATTTAAATTATAACTAGAGTTTTAAATATACCTTCACAGTATAATTTTTGAACCCACAAACTAAAAAATTTATTCTCACCTCAGAAAAATCTCATCCCAGTACCATCACTTCATTATCATCACCACTGCAGCATAACTACCATTGCCTTATGACAACAACACGTCATCATGATTTTATTATCACCAATTTTTTTATATCATTACTTACCAAATATAATAAATTTTTTCATGTAAAATAATTCATGAGAAAACAATTTTCATGCAAAATACTCTATGCAAAACAAGCTATTCTTTAGTATATTATGCCATTTTCAACTTATATGGTATTTTTGCTATTAATGTTGACTGACTTTCTTTTTCAAATTTAACAGACAAGGTTTTTCAGCTGAAATCGACATTTAAAAGCATTAAATTAGACCAGAACAAATAATGAACCCAATAAAATCATAATATAATATTGAATACAAACCTTAGGGGGGAGGTGTTCTATAACAATCCCACGACCTCTATTAAAAGAACTTTTGGTTAAACCAAAATTAATTAACTAATTTACTGCTGAATTTACTTTTCAAAATCCATGTTGCCCTTTAACTTCTACTCCCTGGCAAATAAATTTTAAAGGATTTTTGAGAGTATGGTTATTGTTATTTGTAAAAATAATTTTTATTCAAAAATATATTAAAATAATATTTTTAAAAAATTATTTTGATATTAACATATCAAAATAATTTAAAAATATAAAATATAATTTTTAATTTTTTTAAAAATATTTTTAAAATATAAAAACTTTAAAAATGATTAATATGGTAGGGGTTTAAGAATTGCTTGTCAATAGGAATTTAAAAGCTAATTTTAAAGTAAGATTCATCTCCAGTATTAGATTTTATTTCCATAAAGATCTAAAAAAATTGCATGATGATTATTTATCATATAATAATATTTTATATTTTTAAATTAACATAAATATTCGGATCAGCTTGCATATACCTTGATTAATTTTACGGGTCCTAAAGTTAATCATTATAACCCTCTAGTAATCCTGAAATTTATAGAACTTAAATTAGTGATTTTTAAAAAAATAAATTTAAAATATAACCAATTAAACTACACCCATAAGGATGGTAATATTCTATTTTATTTTGAGAAGGACTTAATAGGGGTGTTCAAAAAAACTAATTAACTAAAAAAATCGAGAGGACTAATAAAAACTGAACCGAGATAGAAAATTGATTAAACTAATTTTTAAAACCATAAAATCTTACCGGTTAGATTTGGTTTTGGTTTAACCACCTAAACTGGTGAATCGAACCGATAATATAAATAACACAGTAAAGAGTAAACCACTAAACCTAAGCTTAATTGATATTCTGAAACCGCTGCTCAAGCCAAAAAGTAAAGAGCCAAAGATAATTTATTGCCTTCTTCCTTCTGCATCTATCTTGCGCCCTACCCCTGCATCTTGATTCTTACCCTTCAATTTTCATCCTCCCTCTTCTCCCTTCCACATCTGTCTTACACCCTATCCCTGCATCTTGACTCCTGTCCTTTAATTTTCATCCTCCCTCTTCTCCTTTCTATATCTATCTTGCCCCTGCCCCTGCCCTTTAAATTTCATATCCCTGTATCTTGCCCTCTGTATTTATCTCTTTTCTAGCTGAACAATAAATCAACAATTCACATCTCTATACCCATTTAGTCCACTTGCAGCTGAACAAAAATCCGAACAAAGCCCCTTGGCTTCTTTCTTCACTTACTATACAAAGAGAGGTTTTTTGGTTTTTAGCTACAAAATCGGATTCAATCAAACCAAAACAGTCAGTTTGAATTGAGATTTGGTTTGGTTTGAATTTTTAAAAATATAAGTTACTTAGTTTGGTTAATTTTTATGATTCAAATTGAATTGAATCGAACCATGAATATACCTAATGCCTAACATGCTTATGATTTTATAAGATATTTTAACAACTTTTTAATAAATTTTTGAAAGCTTACCTTGGCTAATGGTTAATAAGTGAGTTTATTTTATTTTTTAACGGTATTATTTAATTAGGGTTTTATAAAAGCATGGGGACTATTTTCTTCATGATGTTGAAAACTGATTTGATAATATCTGAATTTGTTTTTAAATAATAATAAAAAAGAGGAGAATAAAATGCAAATGTAAAATATATGAGATGACAAAATTAGGTAATGTTTGGTATTGGAGTAGTAATTATTTTTTAAATTTATTTTTAATATTAGTATATTAAAATAATTTAAAATTATTAAAAAAATTAATTAAAAAATAAAAAAATTAATTTTTTTAAATATAAAAACAAACACACTTTTAAATATTACATCAACAACAACTATAACTTGTATTATATATTCCACCTTTATTTTCAAGTGCAACCTAAAATAAAGGTCGGTAAAAATTTATTTATTTATTTATTATTTAAAATTAATTTTTTTATGATTTTAAAATTATTTGAACGTGATGATGTTAAAAAAATTAAGAAATATTATTTTAAAATAAAAAAAAATTAAATTGTTTTTACTACCATTTCAAATATTTTCTGCATTTCAGATGGCCCAAAATGTATGGAACGGGTAACCCACTTGCCCTGTCCTGTACAGTCCACAATGTACATAATAATAATAGTAGTAATAAATAGCATCTACTATTCCATAGGGTTTCCTCTCTCATCTCATCTCTATACTGTAACTTAGCTGTAGTTTTTATCAAATCACTCATCATTTTTCCACCTTATACTTGCTTGCTGCTACCCGCACTCACACACCAAGTACAACTACAAGAGAAGGAGCCCTCTGCTCCGCCCTCCACCCCCCACCCCCCAAAAAAAAAAAAAAAAATGGCCTGCTCTGCAACTTCTACCTCTTTCATCTCCTCTATCGCCGCCGCCAAATCCATGGCCACTCCTCTCTCTAAAACCCTAACTCTCCCCAACTCCTTCTCTGGTACACGGAAACCTATCCAATCTCCCGTCCTCCGTTCCATTTCCCTGGCCCGCGGCTCTCATTCTGCAAAGTCCTTCGTTGTCAAAGCCTCTGTAAGTTCCAATATAAATAAATAATTTCAAATTGGATCGATGATTTTTATGCCTTCATTTTGCGTTTCTATAGTAATTCTTTGTAAATGCTTCTCTTGTGTTTGATAATTAGTCTCTAACTAGGTTTGCTTTCGTTTTCATCCGTGTAGAGTGAACTTCCATTGGTTGGAAACGTAGCACCGGATTTCGAGGCTGAGGCTGTTTTCGATCAAGAGTTTATTAAGGTAGTTTGTGCTTACAATGCTGTTGAATATAAGGTCCTTTTTTAATTAAATTTCT